TCAAGGACTTCGAAGGATCCAGTCTAGGTAGACCGCGTCCTTGGAGGATGCAGCCAAGGTTTTCGAACTTGTCTCGGAGCAGAATCAGTCCTGCTGTGACACTACAGTGCGCATGCGCCGTGCTACCGCTTCAAAATGCTACATTTTTTGAGTAACGTTTATCCAGTATTTGTAGGTTTATCTTCATACAACTGGTAAATATTTAAATAGTTTAAGAAAATCTAAGTAAAATTTACTCTTCGTCCAAAAAAAAGGTTTCATTTTACTTCAAAAACTCTAGTTCTTACAGAAGCTTAAAATTCTTATTAGAAATTATTACAAATACTCTAATAGAGTTTACTACACCAAAAAGTAATTTTTATCAGTGTACTTTTACTCGGATAACTTCACCTGTTATTTAAAAAAGTAGCTCTAGTTAGAGTTAAACATGATGAAGTACCCCTTATCTGCTCCAAAAGCCGCTAGTGTCTCTATAAAATGAAGGAAAGTGAAATGTTACTGCTCTGTATCCATGGTAACAGAAGTCCTTTAACTGACACAATAATACCGGTTAATACCGGTTTAAAAGCTAAATAAACCCATTTGAATGTTTTCTTATATTCTTTAACGTGTTCTCAAAATTAAGCCAGAGGTTTTACAAAGCAACATTTTCAAACGGAACATCTATTTTAGGTTTAATATAGTTATTTGTTTTTTCTTTTTTAAATAAAAGTTGCAAATTACAAAATATTAACATAACATATCTCAAGAAATAGAACAGTATCTCCAGAATATGTGTTCAATGATGGAGTGCAAATACAGTTAAGATATGACATACTTTAACTTAAATAAATAACAAAAGAGATTTAAACAAAGACAAAAAAACAAAAGACAAAAAAAAAAGAAAAAGGGCCGAGATATTTTATGTTTCTCCAAATATTTCCCGAATTACATTAACAGTGTAAATACATTTTTTATTGTTGATTCTCTGGATACAATTGAAGTAAATTTTTTAATCATTTTCAAACACAGGGAAGAAAGGTCGACCTTTGGAAAATTTGGTTTTGTGTATGTGGAATTTTGCAATTAGAATAATCAAGTTAACAATAAATTGCATTTTCCTATCGTTATTAGTATAGTGTAAGATAATATCTTTGACTTGTAGTTTAATTGGTCTGTTAGAGTGTGATGTGATGTAAACCTCAACTTCTGTCCAGAATATCTGTGAAAATGTACATTAAAAAAATAGATGATTAATTGTTTCTTCCTCAGTATTACAGAATACACAGTTGACATCAATATTGACAAATTTGGCTAAAAACACATTAGTAGAGAATCACTTCAACAGTTATTCACCTAGGGTGTCACTTAGTGATGAAAGTTGGTGGGGACATTCTAAGGGTGGTGGCTGATGGAGCTATAGTTACTCCACCCGAACACTTGCATTAGTTTCTTTTAATTTTCCAAAAATTAGCTTAAACATTTATTTATTTATTGAATGCTTTTCTTATTGTTGAAAATACAAGAAAACCACAATACACTGATATTTATGTTTATAGATAGTTATACAGATGCCTTTTAGTGCATTTATATATATAAGGCCTACCCACATTAGAGGTGTCAAGTAACAAAGTACAAATACTTCGTTACTGTACTTAAGTACACTTTTTAGGTATCTATACTTTATTCAATTACTTATTTTTCTTCCTACTTCTGACTTCTACTCATTACATTTTCACACAAGTATGTGTACTTTGTTGTTTTTAAACTGCAGTATCTATATTTACTATCTACTTAAGTAACAAATGTGTGTACTTTTGACAGCACTGCATATTAATATATAAGGAAATAATGAATAACAGACGATTCCGATGCCAAAGTCAATATATCATGTATCCCTAGAATGTACAGTTTAAATTCCATCCATCCCGAAAAAAATGGATGGTTTCCCTTTAAGCTGCATCAGTGATCATCCTCCTTCACGAGCAGCAAAATCCAATTTAGACATTTTTCCTACATAACTTTAACAGCCGAAGTCTATGTATTAATAGATATGATCTCTCTTTTTCATTTTCATCAGAACTCTGGCT